CTCAGGGGCTGCCACAAAGAAAAGGGAGTGAAGCTATTCTCCAAAGCATCCAAAGGCAGGAAAAGTAGCAATGGGTGGAAACTAATCAAGGAGAGAAACAACTAAGAGCTAAGAAGAAATTTCCTGACAGTTAGAACAATTAATCAGTGGAACAACTTGCCTCCAGAAGTTGTGAATGCTCCAACACTGGAAGTTTTTAAGATGTTGGATAACCATTTGTCTGAAGTGGTGTAGGGTTTCCTGTCTAAGCAGGGGGTTTGACTAGAAGACCTCCAAGGTCCCTTCCAACTCTGTTATTCTATGATTTTTTTAAGTGCCACATCTAAACAATAGCAAAGATGTTTTTAAATCAAGTGATTTGAATTCTGTTAAATCAGACTCCCAGGAATGCAGATAATGTTATATGTGGTCAAAGTAAAAACACTTCTGGGTGAAGGAAAAGGATATCTGAGGGCCTGGAACTTTCAGAAAAACCCTAGTGGCAAACCTTAGGGTAAGATCTGAAGTTTTTCTGGAACTTTGTTTTTTTTAACCTCTGATCAGTCTTAATACAAAAGGAAATATAGTCAGATATTTCAAAGAGACACTATGGATTGTAGACCTGCAGTTAAGGTTAAGTATTGCAGGGTGGGGATTGACCCCCAAAAACCAGGTAAGCCATAGTTCTCCCAAAGTAAATCAAGCCAATATTCCAGCAGTCAAGTAAAATGCAGAGTCCTATAGAAATCAAAGTGGTTTCAAACTTATGAAGGGATTGGATAAACTTTGACGTCCATTTTGCTTAGCTTTGGGTTTTTGAAACTTCCCCCTTGTCTGATCCTTTTCTGAGTATTATTACTTAAAAGAAAACATGGGTATTTTTAAATCGCCTGTTCCATGCTGACACCACTGATTTTCCAGAATGTGACATGACACAGCATTTCTAGAAAATGCAAGTAATTTTGTTTTAGCTTTGGTGATGTCAATGCTATTATTATTATAATACGGAATAAAAATGCTAAGGTATCTTTTGATATGTGCTAGGGATAAGTGGTGGGTCCTGGATCCCGTTGCAACCAGTACAGTTGCAACGGGGGCCAGGCGTCCACCACATGAATGTGTGCAGCACGCACACACATGCATGCAATACATGCATGCATGCATCCTTACCTCTTTTGATGCCTCCGCAAGCCTCCGCGACACTCCAACTGCTCAGCAGAGCATCATGCAGGCGCTGTGTGCTTCATGTGCATGCGCGAAAGTGCCAAAGAACTCAAATACAGGTAAGGAGCTCAGGTAGGCGGGCAGGCCCTCCAGACCACCATACTGGAATGGTACCCAGTGCTCTGGGCAGATACCAGTACGCCCATACTGGGGAGTACCGCCTGCAACCCACTACTTCTAGGGATGCAGAAATAATAATTGTATCAATTGCATGGAGGAAGATTAAGATGGCTGTTTGGACAATTAACACATTTAAAATTACTGAATGATTCCAATACTTATAATTGTCTAATAAATAAATAAAACATGCAATTTTATATGTACTTCAGTGTGTGTGTGTGTGCGCGCGCGCGCGCGCGCG